CGCGCGCTACTACTGTACGTCATATCGACATGTGATTAAAGCTATAAACCACGCTTGAAAAACTATTCAATTAATAAGTATGTCAATATAGCGTTCGTCTTTGAAACTCTGCACTATCCTTGGATCCCTAGTTCTTCTTGTTTTAGCAGAACCCGTTGTTTTGGGAGTAGGGATGAATGTAGGTGGTTTGCTAGGCTGTTTGCTTTGATTCAAAATTTGTTTGTACTGTTCTTTAATTGCTCTATTTCGAATATATGAAATGGGCATATTTGTTTTTTTTAATAACATCAACACCCTACGACGGTTATTGTCGTTTAAATTTGGTTCGGTTTGCGTGTAGTTTCGCGTTAAATCTTCCATCATATCTTGATAGGATATATTCAAATCATTGTCACCATATTTAATACCTTGTGGTACCGGTTTTACATTGTGTTTTCGTAAATGTTCCTCTATTTTTGCTGCCGAAGCAGCAACTGTGCCAGGTTTATGACCCGCACCCGACGCACTGGCTGTCACTGGGGCGGGGTTATTTGCCGCGGCCACATCCTCATCATCATCTACAACTTGATCAAGACCGACCGATTTTCGATAACTATCCGTTTTTCTTAGAAAATTAATGATGTCGTTGCCGGCCGTGGAAGAATTATTTTTAACAGATTTTTTAGCTTCCTGACGACTTTCAATAAGACCCGCCTCTTCGCTGCTTCGTTTTGCGTTGTTCAATACCTCGTCTCTGGCGTTATTTTTAGTAAGCATGTCCATCAAACTGTTAAATTTATTCGCGTCGATCAACGCTAACCGTTTGACTTCTTCGCCCATTTTCTTTTGTATGAGTTTTCTTGATCACCTCCAGTTGTCTGACAGCTTTCCGAATATAACCATGAATGCGCATATCTTCTACAAGTGTAAATTTTATATCTTTCTTTGGACAATCTTTACTGGTAATATGTTCTAAAACACCGCGGTCACCATGATCTATTTTAATATCAAGTTTGTCGCGGACAATTAAATCACACACGTGTAACAGATGTCGCGTGATAGTTGGAGAAATTTGTTGGCTTCTTTGATCAAAATCTAATTTCATAAAATTAGAAACACACGGTATGAGACGATTTTCTTTTTTCTTCTTTTCAACTTGTTCTTGTAATTGTAGTAGATGTTTAAAAAAACCTTGTATTACTTGGTCATCTAACCCCGCTTCTTCCGATTCACAATTTTCAAAATTGTTGTCAATATGAAAATCTGAAATATTGTCATCTTCATAGGATTGAATATCCGTGTTTCCTTCATCTACTTGTACAGCAGCAGTGTTATCGACATCGTCGGTCTGATCGGTATTTTCAACATTTTCTGGGGCAACAGTATCATCATCATCATCATCATCTGTGTCCGAATAACCCGTTAGGTTTACGTTTGATATATCTTCGTTAAAATCGGTATTTTCAGCCATATTTTGAAATTACACTATGTATATGAACAGTTTGAATATTTACCCCTTTATCACTGATAACTACAGTGTGTGGTGGTCGCGGTCGACATACAAAAGATTCGGGGTTTTTAGGGGGCCCGAGTTTTAACCCAGTGTTGTTGGTCACGTGTCATGGCATATTGTAAATGGGGAAAAGTGTGTGTCTACACATTTATTTATTTATTTTTTTTACCAAACCACGCCTGTGCCCAGTATATTCCACCTTTTTGATTTTTTCGTCTTGATTTTTGTTTTTTTTTTTCTTTTTACGTTTTTTTTACGTGCAAAAAATGACGCTATTGTCTTTGCCATGCTTAATCAACAATACACACGTTTATTGTTTACATTCAATTTTTATAGATCAAAATATATCACCAAAACGTATTCCACTTTTTTCCCCATCCACCTTTTTGATTTTTCGATCTTACACTTTTTGGCATGAAAGCTTTTCGAAAATAATGTAAGGTACCTCGACCGCCTTTTTGTTTTGCAATTTTAAAATTTCCACCCTTTTGGCGGAAAGATTTTGTAAAATTACCCATCCATGATTCGCCACCTTTTTGATTTTTTTTACGCACACAACAACGTCGCTTCTTCATACTTGAAACAGACTAGTTCAAATTCACTTTATTAACAACAATTTATACTTCGTATTTTAAACGTGCTTGTGTCCCAAAACCAACGCTCATCTGATTTCTAAATTCCCCGATACAAATTAGCTGTTGTGGAGCGGTTGTGTCGTTGGCAAAATCAATTTTTATACTCATATTTCCACTTGTTGAATTGGGTAAAACTTGTGAGAAACCATCACGATTCGGTGATAAATCTGTAACGATCATACCGTAATCGGATACATATTCAGGATATGTACACGGCATCTCACTATGGCGACGATCCAATGATTGACGTAAATTAATGTAGGCCTCTGATGCATTTGTAATTACAGGGGGTACTTCGGCTTCATTGATGCTAACAGCAAAACGTGTGATATCGGGAAAAGCTACATGATAAGGTGACAATATATACGTAACGGGCTTGTGATACAATTTTTGTTATAAGACGTGTAGGTCGTGCACCATTGAAAATATCTTTATGTTGAATATGTCGGCTATTTTGGGGTACGGGTATTGCAACATACCGATGTGTGATTTTATAATACCGACATTCTTCACCTTTTTGAATCATCAAATCATTAATTGCTCCCGATAATTGCGCATTGGGTTTTAAAATTGGCATGGTTAATTTTAAATCACCCATTCTTAAATCTAGCAAAGCACATTCGGCAGCCGTACCATAGATGACTTTTGTTTTCTCCAATCTTGTTAAAACCACTTTGATATCAAATGATGTGGGTACATACCATTTAACACGACCCAACAAATCCAATTTATCAATACATTGATGAACTACGGCTCGATTTATTGCAACATATCGCCACCGGGCACCAATATTTGTATTACCTGTAGCATTCGTAGAATGATGTAAATTTGTGACCACATCCATATGACCTGGTGTGTCGCGAATCATTAAATGAATTGCGGCATCATCCAGATATTCCGAAGGAACGGTTGTTAGAAAATCATGAGTAAACTCAAGTTCATTTTCCTTACTGGATTGGGGGGTAATTAATTGATTATTTAAATACACAGCTTTGGTTTTCCACCCGTAACGTAACGGTGCCATGTTAACACATGCATTTATAGTGGCAGCCGGTGCGTTCGCCGTAGCCGTTGTAACAATCCGTAATTTTGCCGATAATTTAGCATCCTCCATATTTATTACACCATAATCTTGTCGATTATGCATAAATGTATAAATTTCAGCAGTTTGGGTAGTAGGATTGGGTAGTAATTTGAGAGTACGTGTTTCCGCAAATGTATCATTATGGGGAAATGTAGCAAATAATGTCATGGGTCCCACAAAACCACTATCATGTTCTTCAATAGGTTCGGCCTCCTCTTGTCTTTTACATTTCATCTTGACGATGTTCAATGAACTAATGAAACTATTTTAAAAAAACAGTTCCTTTTTAAAAAAATACACACACATTGATTTTTTTGGTTTTTATAATTTTTTATTAATAAAAAGCAAAATAATATTTTATATACATATTAATAATAATCATCGTCATAGTATCTTTGTGGTCGTCTACGACGACGTCGGGGTGCAGGTCCCTGCATCCATGAGGGTGGTGGTCTATTACCCCCTTGATTTACACTTTGTATGGGTTTTCCAGTAGATTTTTTACCAAAAATACTACCTACAACACTTGAACCGGTATTTAATAACATCGGTAATGCCATTCCCAACGCTATTCCTGCAGCGGGACCAAAACCACCTATTTGTTTTTTTACTTTTCGCGATTTCTTCTTTTTATACGCTATTCTTCGTTTACTACCCATAGATTAATTTTAAAATTTCCGGAGCTACAGCTGTGCCTGCACGTACACCAGTTTGCAATGTTTGCTGTTTAGCAGCTCTTGGTTGTATTTTACCAACCCTTTGTATTTTAGGATTTGGCGCGTAACCCGGATTTAACTGGGGTGGCGGACAAATTTTACCGGCAGCACGTTCTTCAACGGTTGATGCTTTACCCGGTAACACAAACAAACATGTCCCCTTATAACGTGTACCACCGCCTTTTAACAGCTTTACGTAGTCTGCTTGCTGCATTGTGAATGATTATTTGATTATATTTCATCGTATATATTCAAAACAATGGATAATTTTGACCGGTTTATTACATCTGCAGCCAATGCAAAACTATCCGCTTCATAGCCCGCTGTTCGTTCAAAAATAAATTTCACATTCTCGTCTAAATCAGCAACATTTCGTACGGTCAATAAACAATTTGGAAGCGGTGCTTTAACCGTTGAATTTGATACAGGAATTATTATACGGTTATTAGGCACTTGTTCAAATCGTTCAAATAATAAATATCGTTTTAGGGTATAATAATGTCGAACTGTCTTTCCACGAAACATACCGTAATCTTTACCATTGTAAAAATAACCACCACCTGTGGCGGGACTTTCACGACCAGTTAGTTTGTTAGTAACATCCCATTTTCGTGCTACCGATAATTTATAACCCCCCAATAGACCCGTAACATGTGCCACAGTGTAATACATTAATTTATGTGACAATTGTGCTTTAACTTCCGAGCTGTATTCATATTTTACGGGTACAAGTTCTTTAGGACGATCGGCTTTTACTTCTAAATCGATTTTTAACATTTTTTCTTATTCCACAACACACTCGATATTCACAGTCCCACTGCTAAACGGTATTAGCGTATGCGTTGTATCGTAGATTGTAACTTTAAATTGATCAATTTTACTTTTGATTAATCTACGGCGTGTACTCGGCGGTGTATATGTACACAATGCACCACTACCCCGATCGCTACCGTTTAAGGGTATGATAGCCAACAAGGGCGCATATGTATCGCCAACAACAGACATTTCCAATTGTTCACAATATACAAACATTTTATCAATACCGTTGGAAATATCAGGAAGGGCTTTACCCATGAATGAACAAGCAAATTTATTATCTCCACCCGCATTTGCTTTATTCATAAAATGGTACCAATTTTTGTTTAGTTGCCGCATATGTTGTGGAAAATAAAACGATCCTTTTTCCCATTCCGATTTTGTTTCGACAACATCCGGATGAACCTTTATTTCTCGCAAACCTAGCATATATTCCAACGATTCAGTAAAGACCATTTCAAATTCGTCCCCCTCGTCGGTATTTTGGGTAAAAACGTTGAATATTTGATGGGGTGGTTTTGTTGAAATTCTTTTTACAGTTACGTCAGAATGCCAATATTCACGTTCGATATTGTACGTTACACCAACGCGGGCATTATTTAAAATTGTAAAATTCACGTCATATTCGGCGACAAATGTGTTCAAGGTATCAAGAAGTTTCTGTAACGTATAGGAACCCGGGGGTAAATACATCATGTCGGTCTTAAAATTAATCTCGATACCCGAATCAGACGTCGTGGGAAAACGCATAAAAAGTTGTACACCACATTGCTCATTTTGAACATTTTCAATCGTTAAAGGATACGAGAAATTTAAAACTCTCATAAATAGCTCTTTATTTTCTGCATCTAGTAATGTTGGCAAAGGCATCACAAACTCGTTAGTATAATTCGTACCACCGACGTCGTTTCGCGCATTACTAACAATTTGAATATTCATAGCGGTTGCAATTCACGACGATAAAATATTCCGCTGATTTCCTCACCCTGCAGATCTTCAAGCGAATACGTGACGGGATCGGAAATGTACACCTTTTTAATACGAAAGGTTTCTTTCACCCAACGTCTTAAGCTTGATTTTTCAAAAACATTATTTTTAATTCGTGCGATACGAACATGTTGACCTTGCTTTAATAGATGTACCGGTGTTGGATTACCGTTTAATAATGCTTTCAATCTTCGAAATGTGTCGGGTTGTTTACCCCGTTTGTATACGTCAAAGGGTGTTAAATTATATATTCCTCTATGTGGCGATTCATTATATCGCTCAATAATCAATTTCAGATTTTCTATGTATCGATGACCTTGATCTAATCCGGTCATTGACCGCATAATACTCTGCTTAAGGGTTTCAATAAATCGTTCGGCATGTACGGCTTTTGTTTCCCGATTGTAAGTGTGAAAAAGTGTGAAACCATATTTCTTACACAAATCCCTTTTAATCAACGTAAATTCTGTCCCCTCATCACTTTGAATTTTTAAAGGAATTTCTTTTTCTTTTATAAGTATATCTTCAAATTTATTCGCCACATTTCGAGCCGTTTTTGTCTTTAAGGGTCGTACAAAAGCATAACGGGAATAAATATCAACACACACAAGTAAGTAACGATATTGGTTATTAAATCTTGATAAATTATTCAAATCTGCTAAATCAATACTCCACTGTACATTACGGCTATATATATTAATAGGTAATCGTTTATATTTTGTAAATTTTCTACTGTGTAACGTATACGCTTCTTTTTGTTTATTATTTAATCTCTCGTGTTTTAACAAACGCGATGTTTTTTTAATCAGTTCGACATCTTTATTTGCTGATCTCTTTCCCATATTTGTTTACTAAATAAAAAATTAATATAACAAATGTTTGTCAATCATTTCAAAATACATATCGTCTATGGTAGTTACATTGTCATCTTTTTTGATCACGGCGAGATAGTCATACACATATTCTTCATTCATTTCAGATGTATATAGTAATACAGCTTCTTTGCAAGATTTAATTTTTTCACGATGCATCACAGCTATATAATAAGCGAAAAGGCTTTACGATACTAAAAAGGGAAATTAATGAAAAATTTGTGTAAAACTATCCATAGACATGTCGGTCGTTTCACGCAATACATTTAAACGGCCAACAGTGTCTAATACATTCTGTTTCAAATCATTATCTAATAGTACATTGAATTCACCTTCGGAATTGTAAAATTCTAATGCTTTTTCATACGTAATATTTTCCTTTAACATTTTCAGTAAGACCCCTTTAACAACACAGCTTACACGAGTTTGAAAATTGTGTGAAGTACCGTATAGTTTTATATCCTCATACCAATTATTAAATTTTATTACCTCCTCATCGGTGGGTTCTATAGTGCGTCTCTTCTTCACCGGTTGTTTAGCAAGACCCGTTTTCGTTGCTGCAGGTTCTTTGCGTTTCACACTCTTTGCGGTGGATGGGAGTAACGTCGGTGTCAACATTGACTCGTCATCAACATCTTCCTGATGCTCGACCTTAATTAGGAATTCGTTGATTTTCTTGGCCACATATGCCCAATTTTCATTCTTTGAGAAGTAAGATTTTGCCCACTGTTCTTCCCATTCCCACTCCTCTTCAACATCAACCACTGCTTGTAATGTGGGGGTATCATCTTCCAAACCGTCGGGAACATCTGCAACGAGAACATCAACTGGTCGAGCAGCTTGTAGACGCACTAGGACCAAGCCACGATACTCGCTATCTTTCAAGACGATGCGAACCACATTTTTCTGATAATCTTCATATTCGTCGATAATGGTGTAGTGGTTGCCACCTTTCTTGCTGGTCTTCAGACATTCATAAACGGTACGAAGCTGCTCGACCGTCAACATAAATTTCATTTTGTATAAATTTTTATCACCCGATTGCGTAGGTGATGAAGAAGCGATGCAACATTTTTCATTCCATCGTTCATACCATAAAATTTTTTTTGTTCTGTTCTGGTATGCTCCTAATTCTGTAACATGTGAAGCATTTCGCTTCTCATACATCTCAACGCCCGATATCGATATCTCTCGTTGCAGTTGTGCCATCTCTACAATGTGTAAATGTGTAATGCTGAGGTTTTGCTACAGCATCTTATAGACAGCGAAACCAAGTCCGACAAGCAGTGCGGTATTTATCAAAAATTCTTTTGCAATTACACCCCTAATATGGTCACATATCTTATTATAGATATCAGTTATTTTAGTGAGGAAAAAACATTTATTTTCAGAAGATGAAAATACAATATGACCATATAAGGTCACAAGTGTATAGGCTGCAACTAATACTCGAAAATATTCCGAAATACTGGTAAAAGAATCATCATCCACTAAAACCACCATTAAATCACAACATTCTGTCTTCCTAGCCTCGTCTTGCGTCAATATCTGTCGAATAGGTCCGCCATATATTTTTAGATAACGTGTCAGTTCCTCCTGAAATAATCCCCTTACATATTCACTTTTACAGTCTACCAAACCCCACCACGACGTTGTCGTATAACATTCCATTCAGAAAACAAAAAAATATAACAAACACACAGCACACATGTTTTACAACTAATGAGCTATACTTTCACGTACAACTTATATAAATGTGCGTATATAATAAGTGGTAATACACTACCATCAATAATCATATTATCGAGTAAAAATCGTTTTCGAATATCGTTAATATTACGGGCATAACATGACTTCGTCGAAAAAAGCCATTGTATATAAAACACAAATTGTACAATTCTATTCATTTGCCGGCTACCTCCTAGTCGAAGAACAAGGGTTCTATTGAAAATATAATGTTCTGTCATTTCATCATTACACCGTTGTAAGATAAGTACTACACTATAATAATCATCTGTTCGCCGCGTAATATCGGCTTTTAACACATATGAAACAGGGTATAGAATACCCATATGTAAAACTGTAAATTTATATCGTAATAACAAGTATTTTTTTTCTTTTGTTTTTCAAAAAATAACTTATTTCTTCTCTTCCCATCCATCTTGGCTGCATCATCCATGGCTGTAATCAAAAGTGCAAGATAAAGGATATGATGTTGTATCTTCATAAATGGCCACCTTTTCACGCGACGCTAATCCTTTCATAACATCATATAACCGCGTAGTAATATAGATATTGTCGGGTAAATATTTATGTGTTATATGGTCTCTTAACATCGTATCGTTTAAACCACTTGCCATACCGTCTCTAAACATACCGAAAAGTCTTTTTAAAGCGTCAATACGGCTGTTTGAATATAGGACGTAACCCCCGGTTAGACGTTGTGTAATTACATTTCTCTCGGGTAGTATTGAAAATTTGCGACGTATATAACCGTCAGGATAACCCAGATAAAATACATATTCATTTCCACTAACGTGAACACAATCGTAATGATAATTTAACTCTTGAATTACATCTTCATACAAAGCACCAGAAAACCATCGCTTACCTAGCACACGACTATTCATAACCCCAATCGTATTGTTTCTTATATTTTAAATTTGTCAAATTTTGACAATAATTATAATTTGAATAGGGTATTGAATTAAGTGCGTACCAAATTAGATCGTCTTTGAACCATATACCATAATATTTAATCAAATAATAGTTAAGTTGCGTTTGACGATAATCCAACGTAATGTAAACATGTATAATTACACTGTTTAAAAAACTCTTCCAACATATGTTTTAAAGCATTGTCTTCGTCTTGACCAAAACGACACCAACCAACCGTTGTGATGGTAAATTTTGGAGAATCTAATTCTTTTTTTATGACGCATCGTATATATCGTCCATGACAAAAATAATCCACTTCGAAACGTACATAATCAGTAGTACATCCTAATAATTTTAAAAAACATAAATTCACACAATAAATTTGATCGTTGCACAAAAGACGTCAACGTTTCATTGTTGAAAAAAATAAAAAATCATTCTATCTTCAAACCCTGTTATCTTCAAACCATATTTGGGTATTACAATAAAATTGTAAAATTGATGGGAATCCTCCCAATATTACGTCTACTGTAATTTAATACGTTTTTAAAAGTCTATATAAACCAACATTTAAAATAACCTTCGAGTAGTTCGCGGATAGCAATATCAAATGTCGAAGGGGACTGAATGTTCTGTGCTGTAAAAAGTTTCTCACCGTATTTTTTAATCGCCCTGCTTTTTAGCGGGCGGCAAATACAAAACAAAAAAACTATCATATAAGTACATGGTCTTTTTATAAAAACAATCATTCGTTTACAAAAGCTATAAGATGGTAAACTACAGGCCGAGATCACGTCGTACGCGTCAATATGGTGGGAATTTTAAGGGCGCAAAATATCAGCGTGGGAAACCGAAAAAAAACACAAGACAGTGGTTTTTTAAGCAGTTTATTTGGTGGGGGAAAAAAATCAAAATCACAACCTATCAATCTAAATGTAAATCAAAGACAAGGCAATCGGGGTAATCAATCGCGTCGTTATCAGCCCTATCGGCAGCAATATCAACCCTATCAATACTACAGGCCACCACCGCCCCATTATTACAGCTCAGCACCACGCAGACGTAGAGGTAGGAAGACGTAGGCGTTTTTTTTAATAAAAACTGAACTCTACAACGAGAAAAGACTTTATAAAACAAACAATCACTTCTATTATGTAGAAAACGATGGAAAAAAAAAACAACAACAAGGTGGTAATCTTTGGATGTTATTTTTGTAAAATACGTATTTTTTCCATATGAATAAAATCTACTAACAAAATGAAACGTTTTCACATTTTGATGAGTGTCTACATATATAACATAATTTCTCTTTTTCTAATATGTATTTGATTACAGGTCTAAAATGACATATTCGAGCCGGGTATAGTGTCAAAGGTCTTTGTTTATTTATAATCCATGTATGTATGTATGTTAAAGAATCCATTTCGTGAAAACAAACGCCGCAACCGCCGCCAACTTTTGGACAACTATAAACACCGTACTGATAAATACACGTTCTATCACACAAACACTTTATCGCATAACGTTTGGCAATAATTTCAACAACCGATTCTTCAACATCGCAACAATCTGTCCCACATACGTAAAATAGTTGTAATTCATTTGCGGCTGAACTTTCACGCATATATGACGGTGTCGAATAACTAACACGTTTTAATACGGCTTTTGTCTGCACGCCACATTTGCATGGGTCACGATATAACATAGTTTTTAAGACCCAAACCCGTCATTTTATAATACACTGTCTTAAAAAGGCGGTCAGGTATAATGTCCGCGTTACTACAGTAAAATACATCAATGGAAATTATACTATCTAAAAATATAAGTCTTCGATTCTTTGTGTTCTCTCCAATAAAAAATACATTGTTAATGTTTGTATAAAGTACACTGTTATAATACCATGTCATCGTCCCTTTGCCGCAATGTTTTCTTTTTTTAAAAGATTTCACTAATTCCTCGTCAAAAGCTTCCCCTTTTTCCATTTGCTACAACGCACCACCACCCTTTTTTTCCTTTTCTTCTGCCAAGTTAACAGCTTCAAAAATCGAAGCCTCTACTTTTTGTAAACAATCGCGTATCTCCACCATTTTTGCATTAATACTTGCTACATATTCTAGACTAGTTTCACAAAACTGGTCCAAAGGTTTCATCACAGCTTCATGTATCTTTGCATCTTGCTGCACTTGTTGGTAGTCTTGTAACTGTAACGATTCCCTTTTCTCCGTACATACGTTACATGTGCAAGTCTTACTACAAGACATATTTATTTTTTGTCTTCAAAAAACAAGAAAACCTCATTTATATGGAAATATTTTTTTTACCAATATTTTTGGTTAAAACCATTTAAAATATATGGTAAAATTACAATCCCCATATTTGGTCATGGCTTTTTTCCAATTTTTCAGTTACTTCCTCTTTCTGTAAAAAATAAAAACATATAAATATAACCCCATCCGACATTTTTTATTTCAAAATAAGTAATGCTTACTTGTGGATTCAGCACTGCAAACGAGTGGGAAAGGTGACAGCTAAAGATACGCTATTTATACCCAATTTTTTTCACCCTGCTTTTTAGCGGGTGGTATACAAAATAAGAAAAAAATTTAGATATTAAAAAATGTGTGAACGTCCTAAAAACTGGTCGGGGGAAACGAAGGAAGAACAGCAAGAGTTATTCATCCATATTTTATCACACATGACAACCGCACAAGAATTAAAAGAAAACAACAACTGTTTACACCATGGTACTTTTCTTTCCGCCGCAAATAGACTAATCAACGAAAATTGGGCAAAAGCTGTATGGTATTTCTATCAATGCCTCCATGAATGGGATGTTGACTATCTACCTGCCACCGGTGTGGAAAATCGGAAAATTATCGACACACTTGAGTCTAGCAATCTTTATACAATAAAAATCTTAAGCCTGCGTCCAGACGGTAAAAAGAAACCCTACGCCGAAGTATACGCCTACATTGAGGAAAGTGAACAAAAACTATTAATATAAAAAAACTTTTTTACCTTTACTTTAATTTTTGTTCTATCAATTTTGTAACGATACAACTTTATTTCTGGAGATAACGTAGTAACAGATACAAACTCTCGTGGTGGATAGTAGCTTAATTTTGGTATCTGGAAAAAATTTTTTTTTTAAAGTATAATCTCCTCTCTACCATTTTTCATAATTTTTTATGACAAATGGTGGAATTGGATTTATATTTTTAAAAAAAACAAAAAACTTTACCTTATCCATAATGATGGTTGAAAAGATGTGAGCCGCAATAGTTATTACAAACGATCTTTATACATTTTTGTAAAAAATATATGTCTGACTCTTAACGCAAGGCTAATTGCAATAACTTAGGAGGGATTCGAACCCCCATTGACTTAGGACTTTTTCCCTAAACGCGTAACCACCGGACCTAACGCGTATCCATCGGGACCTAACGCGTATCCATTTCCGCCACACCGCCTACAACTAGCAATGTGCTAAGTCGCCAGACAATATACTTCACACTTATTTGGCTTTTAACTACCTTTTACTCTACCTTCGCAATTATTATGGTTTTATAAACTTTACTAGTCATGCGCATTAAGATTTCAAATACGAAGATTGGAGAAGAAAAAAGAAAAGAAGAAAAAAAGAAACATTACGACCACCCTGTTGATTCGTTTGTTGTTTTATTAACAAACGTATCACCTGGGTGATTGTTAAAATAAATTTTATCAAAAAATGGAAGGAAAATAAAAAAAATAAAAAAATAAAAAAAATAAAATGTTTTATACTAGACGGTCTTTTGCTTCGCGTTTTACACTCGAAGTAAATTATCGTCTATTTTAAAATGTTTTTAGCAATCTTTTTTTATTAAAGTTACAACCATGCGGGCATAGCTTTTCTTTATGATTTGCAATGGTCGAATGGTTATAATTTTTTTTAAATTATCATTTTTTTTGCTTTTTTAGAAAATGTACGGCTTGGTATTATCTTAAATTTTTTAAGAAAATATTACGCCTTACTTTCTTTTTTTCAATGGGAAATAGATGTCACCAGGTGGTAACACATATGACGTTACACTAATTTAATAAAATAATTAGCCGGGTGATTATTTGGTAATTTTTAGCGAATAATCACCTGGGTAATTATTTAATTAATTTTTTTTCAAAAAGTAAAACAATGTTGAAGGGTGTAAAGTGGTAGCACGAAGGAAAATCTGTGACGTTACACGCCGCTTACGATTATTTAACATATCACCTGGGTGATTATTGCTTAAATACACAAAACATGGCTGAATGCAACCTAAACTGTTCCTCTGTTGCTGAATGCAAAAAATGTTTGCAAGCCAAACGAATATTTGAAGGGGAAAGTTGTCCGCTTTCCTACAACGAAGATGATGATTGGTTTAATGATGAAGACGAAGAATTTTCATTTGACGAATCCAATGAATGGTTTGAGAAGGCGTTTGTTGCTGGTATGAAAGAACGCGAAGAAATGCAAACCGGCTACCGATATGCGAAGCAAAGACAATTGGATGAGGCGTTTCAAAAATTACAAGATGCTGTAGAAGAATGTTTGGATAAAGAAAACCACGAACAAGAAAAATGAAAACTTATATGAACTTTAGTATAGCGTAGTATTAAAAAGATACGAAATAGTAACCATAGTAATAAACAAAACCGGAAAACAAATTATGTAACCATAGTAATAAACAAAACAAGGAACGTTTAATTAAAAAGGAAAAAAGAAAAGAAAAATACGTGGAAACACCAAGTGGTAACACATGATGTCACAGCTTACGCACTTTGAAAAACGGCGGCAAATTCGAACGAACGCCACTTCGGTCGACCAGGGCTTTGGGTTCGGAGCTCTGCCACGCATGCGCGCAACCACGCGTCACACACAACTGTCAATCAAACACTCGCCGCAGACGGTAAGCGTCGGTCCAAAATTGGGAACGCCCCCTTTAAATTATCCCCCCCCGTCCGTACAGTCAGCGGATACGATCATTGACGCCCGCGATACTTTCACTTTCCATTCAAAGCTCCAGTTAAATCAAATAGGTTCACACACCCCCTCTTTTTTTTGTCTTCATTCTATCATTACTACTATCCTCACCCCCCGGTTTGTCTTCTTTGCTACTTTCACGGATGGAAAAACAAATTGACTGATGATGCCCTTTTGTTACAGTCGCGACAGTGCTTGCTAACTGGACAATCTTTCAATTGGTGTCCCTTTCGAATGCAATTGAAACATCTACCGCTTTGACGTAGAATATCTTTTCGTTCTCGAACATTCTTTATAGTTTCACAAGAAGCAGAATAGTGCTCTCCCTTGCAATACACGCATTGTAACTTAAACGATTCACCACTTCTCGTTGTCAAGGCGCTTGCTGAGTCATAGTTTGTTGTTTTGCTCTTTATATCAAGTGGAGACAATCGTACACCTTGATGATATACATCATCAGCAGACTCGGCGAGAAAAGAAGCGTCATTCTCGTATATCTCCACATTGATAGGTTCTATCCGATTGTTCAGATTGCCAAATACTGCTGGAGATGAAGGACGAACTTGGGTTGCACTTCCAGCAGTTGCTGTCATTTGACTATGCCGAAGTGTGTTTTGAACAGCACCGGTAGTTTGCAACAAAGACAAATATACTTCAGCAGGGTCAGGCACGAATCCTTGAGCTACAGGTTCTACTTGAGATATGAGCTACAGGTTCTACTTGGTGCTGCTCAGGCATGTTAATGCCTGGGTCTGCCCACGCTTGGATGATATCTTGCGTGTGTGTTGCACACACAATCTGTCAGTAATACGTCTGTTGGAATATGTGCCCTTTGTGTGAGTATTTTAGTGAATTCGGGCATTTCGCTTCAAATATAGTATATATATATATAGTATATATGAGCGACATAGTATATATGAGCGACAGGATTATTTTGGAATATACAATGCAAAGTCGGTATACTATTCAGTTTTTATGTAATAATTGGCTCTTTGTATAGCAATAAGTATTGTATCATTTGCGACAGGTGACCTTTGGGCTGCTGATAAATAAAAAGCTTCTTATAGTGCACTATCTTGTGATTATTCAGCATTAATTGTTGATTGTTTCTTATTTTCAATGAAAATTGCTTGTGAATTACAAATTAATTATAGCACATATAGTTCACTCGGTCTTTTCCACCATGGCATACTTCCCTTCAAGCATCAACTATGCTTCAAGATATCGGCTTGAATATGCAATGAATGTTGTTATTTGAAATATAATAGCCCTTACAATAAGCGGCAGACTGTTTCATTATGGCGCGTGAAATTCATCACACGAAAAACGCGTTTGACTTGCAGCAGGGTAATTTGATGAAATTTTGCTATTTTTATTAGCTAAAAACATTAACAAGGGAACAAAGTTTCCTGTGTTAATTTGGAAAACGTACATTTATTTGTAGATAACATTTAATGAAGCGATTAAGATTCGTTTGATGCCGATCATCGTAATATAGCCACATAAAATGAAACGAAGCCTAAATGTAAACTTTCCAGATTCATTCAACAAACAGTGATATTATGTGTGAATGATTATCGCAATTCTGCATCCTCTCAGTCACGAAATATACTGCTGCAGAGCCTCTGAATAAAAGCGTATCATTTTTTGTGTTGTTTTATCGAAATATACATCACGTGATCATTGCCATGACAACGAAAAGTAGGTCAACTTTTAGAATCTCCTTTGATAAATCATATAAAACTTGAATGGTAATAATCAAGGCCATCTTATTTTTTTATGATTTTTCGTCTATTTTTGCTAAATACACAAACTGAGACCCAGGCATTAATGTACCTGAGTGGAAAATAGGCAGGTTATCTGTTCCGTTTAACATAGGATTATCACTCTTTTCAACGTTTCACGTCATGTGCAGATAGTTCTACTTGTGATTTTCTTTCCATTTTTCCATCACAAAAGTTGAGCGAAACCAGGCAGAACTGTTATTGCGAAACGACACATGTGCCATCAGGAAAAATTTGCTGTCCAAGGAAAATTTTCTTGAGTGGAAATGGGCCGTAAAGGCCATGCAGGAAATGTTGTCAAACAGATATTTACAGAATAATAACAAAGTAACTTAATTAACATGCAGGAAATTTATCAAATATAGAAAAATATTTACAGAAGAGAATCACATATTACTACTTGCAGTCAAGAGCAGCCTTAAATTGGCAAATTGACATATTTGTCGCTTTTGCATTATTTGACAAATTGTTCCACGCTATTGCTCCATTATAACTTATACTTTTTTCATGTAATTTGTTTTTGGTTTTTGTAAAAGAAAATCATTATCCTTGCTGCACAAATTGTAGTTTTGATTATTAGTGATTTCGAACAATTGGTTCATACTTTCTGGTAGCTCACTATTTTTCACTTTATACATAAAAACTAGCTTATTTTTCTCCCATCGATCAGCTAAAGGTTGCCAAGTTAATTCCTTTTGTTGATATTTCACATGGTCTGCCTGTGATGACTCTTGCAGCCCTGTTTTGCATTTTGTTGCACAGATATTTGCTGCAGTTAGTCCAAACAAGGCTACATGCAGTAATTAAAATATGGCAGTATTATCGCATTATAAACATTTAACAAAACAACTTTGGGGGCACAACTCTTTATTCGTCTCAGCATACCTATACCTCTGGACACCTTGGATACAGTGGTTTCCACTTGTTTTTCCACAAAAGTTGATCATCTATAATGATGCCTAATGTTTTCGAATACTTAACGTGCTTAATTTTTGTTTCACCTAATTCAATTACAGGGTCAGTTTCAATCTTTGATAGTCTCTGTCATGAACCAATTATCATGTATTCTGTTTTATCTTTATGTAAAGTCAATTTATTTGCTAATAACCATTGACGAATATGTTCCAGATCATCGTTTAAACATGTTTGAATGTCCTCTACATTGAAACCTTTTGTTGTTATATTAGTATCATCTGTGAACATATTCGCAGATGTATGCAATAAACAGTTTGGTAGATTGTTTATATATATGAGAAACAGTAGTGGTCCCAAATTAGATCCTTGGGGTACTCCACAACGTATGGTGTGTTATTGCGACTTAGTTTGTCCGATCGTACACATTTGAGTTTGATTTGTTAAATACGATTTAAACCAGCTATAGGCCACTCCATTGATACCACAATGCTATGATTTATGCAATCAAATGCTTTCTTTAAGTATATATAACCCCATTCAAATAGCCTTAATCCATATTCAAATACCATTTGTTTGTAACATTTAGGAGAGCTGTTTGTGCAAAGTGTTTCTTTCTGAAACCAAATTGCTAGTTTACTATTACTCCATTTATTTCCAAATAATTAGAAAGCTGCTGAGAAATATTTTTTAAATGAGTGCCGCCATTACCCGCCCATTGTAATCTTTTACAATCAATTTGTTTTATCATCGAGTCGCAAATTAATACCATGGTTTTGACATGGCTGGACCTAGGATCTTGCCTTCCGCCATCTGGTGGCCCGGCATTAACCGATTCCCTATCTTGTTGTTGTCATAATTCTCTGTTGTTGTTGAATCTCATTTCCTGTCTTTCGTCTTGTGATATGTTATTGATCTTTTTATTTTGTTGTTCATCTTGTCGCCATGTCTTCCAATTTTTGTCATACCTGCTACTGTCTGGGGATGCAAGGTCTACTATTGAGTCATGGTGGATGTTTGCATGGCCATTTCTGCTTCGAATAATTTGCAATCCCCGCCTGGACCTGACCACTTTCCTGTCAACATTATTGAATCACTGACAATGTTCTTTAGCTCTTCGAATGAACCAAATCATTTCAGTCTACCGTTATTCGAAACGCATAGGTTATCTCTGAGACCTTCATTGTTATTTAAAGCCACTTGATTTCCATTAACATCTAAACATTCAGCAGCACTATTTTTGTCAGTATACTAAAACTGTCTGTACCAGTGTGGGAGTACCAATGTGAAATTGCTGTGCTGAGTGGTTGTTATATTACTACCTGAAATAAAATCCATATCCGTTCCGTTGATCCCCTCCATCGCTTCCGCATTTTAACCTAATTGTGACATGTTTCACAACAACAAGTCTCATTGACCTTTGACTTTATATTCCCAGTGTCACGTTGTGTCATTTTCAGCTTTTCGCATATATTCAATAATGTCACTTTAGATTTCAATAGTTTCACAGTTATAGCAGTTTTGATACACTCGTTTGATACAGCTCTGTGTACAAATCTATTCTCCTATAAAGATCTGGTAGAGTTATCGTTGCACTGAATTGAACACGAGTTTGCACCGTTGTGCTAGACAGTAAACAAGCCAACAAGGTCTGTTATGGTACGCGTTGGCAACCTCCTTGCTTTTTTCTTCTGTTGCGTAACGGCATAAAGCTTGTTGGCGAGCCAAGCAATTGGCGATAACATGTTGGCTATCTCATCATCTTTCTTGTTTAAATAAAGAGCTCTGACTCTCGCAAGTTATTTTCTTCGTACAAACACCCGTACAAACACCCGCTTCTGTTTAATAGTTGTTTATGCTTTATTGATCTGATGCAATTTTTCGCCCTTTGTTTTGAGTGTAGCCATCTATTCTGTGTAGCACCTAATACAATCGATGTATAATGGATACTTGCATACAGTCTAAGTAATATCGATAGGCACTTAATTCAATGCTGGTAATGCATAACATCAATTATATATTGCGTAGAATCGGCAAAGATTTTCTCAATATTCATGTCTGAAATGTTTATATATTTGAAAACAACACTGTCTCGCTCCTTCCTACATGCTACCTCTGTATTATAAGTATACCGTGAAAATAATATTGGCATGCCTAGAGGCTAGAATCTCAAAGATTTTCGACTCAATATTTACGTCTGAAGTGTTTATACACTTGAAAAAAGTCCTGTCTAGCTCCTTCCTAGCTCTGTATAATGAATATACCATCTAAATAATATTGGCACTAAATTGAATGTCCGTAATGCATAACATCAATTTATATATTGCGTAGATTCTCAAAGATTTACTCAATATTCACGTCTCGAAATTTTTGTGAACTTGGCAAAACGATAAAAGAATATTTAAATACAACAACTGAAATTGCCTAAATAACCTTCAAAGCACTGACTAAGTATGATAAATCACTACGAACATAAATCGTATATACACCCCCCGGAAAGTTTACTGTATGACTGAATGAATGACTGACTGACTGATTTGTTTGAATTTTCCCCCCACTCATCACAATACTGTGAAACTTCACACTAAAAATGCATGGGCTTTTATACTAAGAGTATGAAAGCATCATGCGACAAAAATAAACCAATTGGATCGATTTAATCATAACAAAGTGTAAACAAAATATGTAAATCGCATTACAGATTTTGTCAGTACCAAATTTTGTCAGTACCATTGTCAGTACTATTGTGGTAAGTATGACAGAGATGTTAACTTGTAAATCACTAACGCAAGTATTCCTTTTCCTACTAAGAACCTTTTGTGATAATACAGAGGATTTTCAAAGATTAAAGTTTGTTGGTTACAACCGTGTGTGTGGGCTAGTCCCATTCTTGAAGAACCAGTTTCGAAATGAGACATAAAGACCAAATGTAATTGGCTAGAAATAGATTAAACAAGACGCCTGCTCAGGCGTTCACACTGGCCTCGCGGTTGGTGATACCAAAAATGTGGTTTGGTGGTGTCAGTTCTCTAAAAACGTTGTTCATTGTATTTGAGAAACCAATTGGTTATGAACATAAGTGCGTTCGGACTGATTTGGGAGATATATATGCAGCTTCTCTCCCACATGACTGTGGGAGAGAGAGAAGTTGGAATTCTTAAATACACATTTGATATTATGCACTATAGTAATGTAGCACTTCAATATTAGTATAATATTAAGATGTAATGAGAGTGAATATTGGTTAAAGTTAATTAATGTACTGTAGTGTGGTGACAACAGCATCATGATCAGAATAATAAACACTTTCTATGGAGAATAATAAACACTTTCTATGTTGGCTGGGTAACAATTTGTATATAGTGAAGAGACTCCATTAATGAGACTAGTGTCATTAAAATAATTAATATTGAAATCGCCAAAGACTATGTCAATACTGCAACTACTGAGGATATATTCCAATGTTTCTAAATATTGTGTGACATTAGAGTTGTTTTTTCTATATAGTAAAAGAAGAGAACGAGATTTTTGTAGTTTAGTGTCCATAAGAATGAACTTTAGTCCATTAAGTGATGGGATATACTCATAGTGTTCCAATGTGAAAGTGTCTTTAATGCAGATTGCCATACTTGAATATTTGTCAGTATTATGATCTTGACGATAAATTCTAAAAGGTTTTAAATTGTTTGTAATTTCGATATCCGAGTCATTAGCTAGAAGCTGTGTCTCAGTAAATGCAAGAACATCAGAGTTAAACAACTTGGAATGAAGCCTGACATCTTTGCTATGCTTCCTGAGAGATCTAATATTCAGAAGAGATATAGTTAGAACTGAGTTGTTGCAAGATTCTATTTCTGTTGAAGGTCCGGAGCAGAAATTGGAATTTCGGAGTCTTTCATATTCTTGTGCAACTTTGGGATTTGCCTTTATATGCTTACTTTGTAGTTCTCCAAGTGTATGTAAACCTTGCAAAGATGTTGCACGGCTTAATGCTACATAAATCTGCCCATAGTTGAAGGATCTTTGCTTTCTTAACTCTAAGCTAACCACAATATTGTCAAGAGTAAGTCCCTGAACTTTATGAACAGTACATGCCCATGAAAGTGCAATTGGAAATTGTATTCTCTGAATTTCAGGAGAAGATGCTTTGCCTGGTCTAACTTTGATTTTTGTAAGAACAGGGTCAATAGGTACAACACGATGTTCTTTAGCAAAAGAGTTAGGAGTAGTATCTATCATTGCTTTCCCAGCTTTTTCATCATCAAATTTAATATATAGAACGGTTGGATCTTTATTAATGTTGAGATCAATTTTCGCCACGGTTCCCATTTGGCCATTAATTAGTCGATCTTGGATATTGATATTTGTAGTGAGCATTACTCTAGCACCTTCTTTAACCTGAATTTCAAAATCAAGTCCACCAGTTTCTGATCGTCCTCTCTAGCTAAGACTCTATCAATATCTTGTTTCCTAACCTTTTTTGGGTATTGATCTTTTGCTTTGAGAATTATCAGTGGTGCTTGGATTGATTCTAGTTTCCTTTGATTGTATTTGTTATAAACACCCAGTTCTGTCTCTCAGTACACAATGGCCCGAACCCCCAAAGGATTCTGGGATACTACACTCCTCCCTTTCCAGTGTCCAATAATCTGAACTACTCTGTATCTAACAAAAATAGAATGTCAACTTTAACTAAATGTCATATTAAATAATGGTTTATAGCAAGTTCAACTTAGCTGTTTGCTAGTTCATAGTCCTGCAAATGTTGAGGAAGACGACGGTCTCTATGAGGTTGTCTTCTTTATTCTGCTCTCGCTTCAAGTTCGGGTTCTTCCCGTGGTTCTGCAGGATTCACCTCTCTGGTTGGTAGTTGAATGTCTTCCAATCCACTCGCTATAGTTGTTTGAGGAACATCAGTGCGAATGCGGAGATGATCTTGGTGACGCCGGATAATTAGACCATCATCAAGCTGTATTTCTGCCGACACTGGTCCTGTCTTCTTCACTACCGTCCCGGGCATCCAACTTTTAGGTTTCCTGAAATCTTTCGCATATACTAGGTTCCCGGTTTTGATAATCCGTTCTCTAGCATGATAGTCATGTACTGCCTTTTGCTGTGATTGTTTTTCCCTCACCCGATCTCCAAGGTTCGGCTGTATCAGATCCAACTGAGTACGCAGGTGTCTGCCCATCAACAGCTCCGCTGGCGGCACACCTGTTGTCGTATGGGGTGTAATACGGTATTTCAGAAGGAATCGCGATAATTTTGTTCTCATACTTCCTTCCTTCATCTTCTCAATGCCCTCTTTAAAAATTCTCACTGCATGCTCTGCTTGCCCATTTGATGCTGGGTGGTATGGTGAAACTTTGATGTGTTTAATACCATTTCGCTTCATAAATTCTTCAAATTCATTGCTCGTGAAATTTGTTCCATTGTCACTGACAACTGTTGTCGGTAGCCCATGTGTGGCAAAAATCTCGCGTAGTTTCTCAATGGTTGCTGTAGACGTAGTGGATGTCATCTGGTGAACTTCTAGCCACTTAGAATATGCATCAACCACTACCAGAAACATTTCACCTTTGAATGGTCCTGCATAATCAATATGAAGCTGTGTCCAGGGATGTCCTGGCCACTCCCATGGATGGAGTGGTGCAGCAGCTGGAGTTGTATGATGCAATTGACACTGATTGCAACTCTTCACTTCCCTCTCAATATCTTCATCAAGAGTAGGCCACCACACATAGCTTCTTGCGAGGGCTTTCATGCGGGAAACCCCTGGATGTGCTTCATGCAGCTCCGTTAAGATATTTGATCGTCCTGGGGGTGGAATGATAACTCTCGTACCCCAGAGTAAACAGCCATCCTCCACACTTAACTCCAACTTTTTGTTGTGGTAAGATTTAAATGTTGTGGAACCATAGGACTCTGGCCAACTTTGCATTGTGAAACGAAGGACTTTTGACATAACTGGATCTCGTTTGGTCCACTTTCTTATCTGATTGCTGTTGACTGGTGTTTCCTCCAAATGTTCCATCAGGAGGATTGTTTCACCTGGCTGTGGCGTTGACAGTGGCATCTTTGGTAGGGGTAGTCTACTCAATGCATCTGCGTTCCCATTGTTTTTCCCGGCTTTATATTGTATCTTGTACTCGTATGCTGCTAGTGTGAGGGCCCATCGTTGAATTCGTGGTGCTGCCTGAGTGGGGACTCCTTTTTTGTCGCTGAGTAACCCTTCTAATGGCTTATGGTCTGTTTTGATGGTAAAAGACTGTCCGTAAAGAAATTTGTGAAACTTCTTAACGCCGAAAATCGTGGCCAATGCTTCCTTTTCGATTGTCAAATAATTTCTCTCAGCTGCGTTTAAAGACCTTGAGGCATACGCTATCGGTTTTTCTGTCCCATCAGGAAATACATGTAACAAAACGGCCCCAACTCCGTAATTCGATGCATCTGTCGCTAAGATTAACGGCTTGGTCGGATCAAAATGGATGAGTAAGTCAGCTGATTGTAGGAGCTCTTTTGCATAGTCAAATGCAGCCTTTTGCTCTTCTCCCCACTCCCACTTGGTTCCCTGTCGTAGTAGTCTGTGTAGTGGCTCTAGGATCGTTGCCACATTTGGTAAGAATCTGTGATAGTAGTTTAGCATTCCAAGAAATGATCGTAATTGGTTAATGTTCTCTGGCTCTGGTGCTTTCGTGATGGCTTCGACTTTTTCGACCACAGGATGGATTCCGTTCTTGTTTATCCCATAGCCACAATATGTCACGTCTGATGCCATGAAACAACATTTGATCTTCTTCAATCTTAGGCCCGCTCCAGACAGTCGCGTCAACACTGCATTCAAATTGGATAGGTGATCTGCATCGTCTTTACCGCCTACAAGAATATCATCAACTCGCACAATGACACTTGGAATACCTTGAAGTAAGTTCTCTGGTGTCCGCTGGAATATACCTGGGGCCGAGGATATGCCAAAAAGTAAGCGATTATATTGGTAAAGTCCCTTATGAGTGTTAATTGTGGTGTACTTCTTGGACTCCTCGTCTAGCCTCAACTGTTGGTAGGCTTGTGACATATCCAACTTAGTGAATTTTTGGCTTCCACTGAGGGTTGTAAGCAGATCTTCCGTCTTCGGTATTGGGTAGTTGTCTAGTTTCGAAGCTTGGTTAATTGTTGCTTTGTAATCACCACATACACGGTGGTTGGTTTGGCTACTGTTGGTGGCTGGTTTGGCTACTGTCACTATTGGCGAAGCCCAATCTGAAAATTCAACTGGAGATATGATTCCCTCTCGCTGTAGTCTCTCTAATTCTTGTTTCAGTGGAATTTTCATGGCAAAAGGAACTGGCCGAGCCTTCACAAATTTGGGTTGTGCATCTTGATTTGCATAGATGTTTGCTGTTGTTCCTTCCAAAGTACCTAATTCTTCGGTAAAAACCTCTTTGTGGGTTTCAAGAACTTCCTTCAATTCACTGCAAGGATGACATTCATTTATTTGGAATATTAAGGCCCAGTTCATTTTGATTACACGCAACCAATCTCGGCCAGGTTTGGACCTTGACCTTTGACCACAAGTGCGAGTAGGTTGTGCTATTGGTTTCCATACCGTACTGGAACCATTACTTCGCCCGCTACTGGAATTCTCTCTCCGGTGTAGGTGCTAAGAACAACTGTTGTCTTGCGGAGTGGTGTCAAATTCTTACATAGTTTGTTGTATGTTTCTTCACTTATGATTGTCTTAGTAGCTCCAGTGTCTAATTCCATTCTGATTGGCTGGCCTCCCAGTTCTACATCAATTGAAATCGATTTGTCTTTTTTTTTCTCTCGAATATTGTACAGCGAATATTCTTCCTCTTGGGCACCCTGTGCATTAACCATTTTTACTTCCGTATCCTGTTCACGTTTCCCTCGACTTCCGGTTTCGCGTCGCTGTGGCAACTCTGCTTGCTTTGTTCCTCGCCTTGTGCTACGACAAACCTTTGCAATGTGGCCGATTTTATCGCAGTTAAAACATTTTAACTCGCGAAATTTACACGAATTTGCTGCGTGTTTCCCCCCACAACGATAACATTCGGAGCGACTTGATTGCTGGTTGTCCTCACGGTTGTTTACACGATGTATATTATTTGGGTCTTCGATAGAAACTCCTTTGGCGCCCAAATCTTCGACGTGTTTTGATGCCGATTCCATAGCTAACGAAAGTTCAACTGCTTTCTTGTATGTTAGTTCAGGTTCTGCTAAGAGTCGTCTTTGAATCTTTTCGTTGTTGATACCACATACTAATCGATCCCGTATCATATCATCCAAGGAAGTGCCAAATTTGCAATGCTCGGTCATTCGACGTAATTCAGCCACATACTTAGCAATTCCTTCGTCAACACGGCGAATTCTGTTATGGAATTTAAATCTCTCTACAATGACGCTTGGTGTTGGAATAAAATGCTTTTCCAGCTCTTTGAAAATTTCTTTTATCTCCGTATCACCCGGTTTCTTTGGCTGTAGTAAATCTCGAATTAATGCGTATGTTTTCGAGCCACACACGCTGAGAAATATTGCCCGCTGCGTTTTGGCGTCTGTCACTTCATTTGCTAGGAAATATTGTTCCAGCCGTTCGGTGTATTGGGTCCACGTTTCTTCTGCTTCATCAAACGGACTTACTTTTCCGTAGGTGGCCATTTATACGTGTGTTTCGCTTAAAAAAAATCCTCGTCGCCAATGTTATAACCACCCAGTTCTGTGTCTCAGTACACAATGGCCCGAACCCCCAAAGGATTGTGGGATACTACAGGCACACTTTTGGATATTTTAATCATAGCAACTACATATACTGTAGGTTTCAAATAAAGTTTGAAGAATGAACAACTGAAAATAAACATGTATTTAATTTGAAACACTTAATTAAAGGAATTACAACATATTATGTGATAGTCATATGTGCATGATTATAGTTATGTTTATTAGTTTTACTAGATAATATTTATGACCATCCTGGGACAACATTTATTTTTCCCAAGAGATTTTACTTGCATGATAGTAATAAGTTTAATAGTAACAGAGAAGTGTGATGGATATGTGAAAGTAATTATCATTAGAAATACAAATATTAAACTGTAATTTTGACCATTGTAAATGTATTATTAAAGAACAAAATACAAAAGTCAAACATGGCTATTTAACATAATACAGTCATAATACTAAACTGGTTATTAAATAACTACTGAATAGAGGGATCATGAAAATCTTCTAAGATTACTATCATAGCTCTGTAACAGGGAAAGGTATATTGAGTTTCTTCACCTTGATGAACAAAATGATATAGCATTAGAAAATATAATGCCATCAACTAATTCCCTTTTAAAAATTTTCATGTTGGTCACTGTGAAATATAATCTTGAGGCCATCTTAATGATTGTTTACTATCTGATTGATGACATGATTTAATATATATATTTCCATGGAATTCAAGTTGACTTTTTCCCAAGTTCATGTAAAATATGGTTCACCAGTTAAAATAATAAAATGTTTATTAGTTGTTTTGTAACAACAGTACCTGCTTTAAAGAAAATATAGGAAAGAGAAAATCGAAATAACAGTTGTACTGTATATGGAAAACAGAATAAAATCTTTCTAAGCATTTCTGCTGTTATCATAATTTTATTAACTGATGAGATAATATGAAGTCTTTCTGTATGTTAAAAACTGTGATTTCTGAAGAAGTCTTTCTGCATGTGTGAAATGAAGTCTTTCTGTATGTGTGAAACTGTGTTAGAAAATGTGATTTCCGAGACTCTTAGAAAATGCGAAAGCAACGTGTGAAAATAAATCGAATAAATTCAATATAAATGTACAGTACATACCTTGATATACAGAACAATCAATCAATATCATTTCATATTCCAGGCAACACTATCAGTGTTTATCCAGTCGCATTTGAAGCCGAACAGCATCTGATATATACGAGGGTTGCACAAAACGATGTCACAAATATGAGCGCCATACTCCGACAAATTGACACAATATGATGATGAATGTTGCATAGTTTTGTGTACATGTGTGTTCACAGCTTATATCTGAAGTATTTTTCGTAAAATTTGTTAAAACTTTGAGAATAAATACATAAACACTCAACAAAACATGTATATTTTTAAGCAAGAAAATCGTAAGCGCCAGCGCTAATTGTAGTCAGCAACATAACGTTGTAGTTACTGCGCATGCGATAAATCTCCAAGAATCTTGGAGATTTCATCGTATTTTACCAGGGTCTTCCTCAGCTCGCGCGCCACCACGAGGAAGACCCTGGGGACGAGGTTGTATTACTGAGTGATGAATAATTCAATTTTAAACCTAAAACCTGGGGCTTTTTCAAACCTAAAACCTAGAGTTTTGTCATTAATATTCCAAACGATATGTGATTCGAAAAAAAAAGCGACGATACTTGCGTTAATCCGAAAATAAAACATCGTATTCACGAAGGTATGTGTCAAGTTTTTAATTCTCAACTTGGAGGCTTTTAATTTTCGGTATAATATATCATTTATAGACCCTCCGCTCAGGGGATGCGGCGAAATATTACCCTCAATGATGATATTTCCCTCGGGGCAAAGCCCCTCGGGAAATATCATCACTTCGGGTAATATTTCGCCGAATCCCCTGAGCGGAGGGTCTATAAATGATAATTGTAACATAACTGTAATTAGTTAATGAAATAACTAGTTTAAGTACTTTCTGAAAAACGCTATTGGGAGAATGTACATATAATTAAACATTAAACAGTAAACAGTAAACAGTAAACAGTAAACAGTAAACACTATGGTAAATTTGTGTAAATATGATCCAAAGTCTGTTTGTTCGTAATGAAAGCAGACACCAATTGTCCATAATTACGATCATTGGTAAAAAAATTATATAAAGGTCTTCAATTGGCTTCATTCAACTAATTTATATTAATTAAAGTCACCATGCAATGAAAATGTTTAATTGAGAAGTACATAACATCAAAACGTCCACTCCTTATACACCTACAATGGTAACATGTGGAAGAATCATTACTTTCGTAATAGTATCTCAATGCCATTAGTCAATTCTGGTCTAAAATTTCGAATCATTTCATTTGTATACTGCGCAATAAATGATGAAACCCTTCAAATGCTTGCCAAAATACTCCCTTGACCTTTGCCATATTCAGAACATATAGAACAGAAGAGAAGCTATAGAACACGTGTAATGGCGTGATATGGCGCGAGCAACTGCTTACGTCAGGTCATTTTGGAATTTCTTTCATTTTGTTAATCAGTTTCCGCGACCTGCGCGTAAAAATGGTCACCTGGTTTGAGTTCGCGATTTTCAACTATGTGCTGTCGCTGATTGGCTAGAAGCACGTGCACGTTTACAAACTTCTGGTACGGTTAACAACGCACGCGATAGCAATATATCTGCTTTCGCGGATATTTCGCAGATACAAAAATCGTTTAAAAAGTACTGTCAGTGTATTGTTTTTATATTTATATTTATAACACCTTTACTGATTATTGCTTTTACAGCTTACTAACCTTACTTAGGCAGACTGAAACAGAACTACCTAATACACTGTTAATTTGAAGGAGTAGATACTACTCCAAAAAAGGAGTAAAAAAAAAAGGTACCAGTTGACTCTGTTTTGGGAGTATTTTTTACTCCATCATTTTAACTCCACTTTTAGAGTACTTTCTACCTCACTAATGGAGTAATATTTACTCCAACAGGAGTAATAAATACTCTAATTTAAAATTTTACTCTCATTTTGGAGTCAAAAATATACCAAAAGTGGAGTAATATTTACCCTCACAGGAGTAATAAATACTGCAGTTTAAAATTTTACTCGCATTTTGGAGTCAAAACTATACCAAAAGTGGAGTAATATTTACCCTAACAGGAGTACTAAATCCTCTAGTTTAAAATTTTACTCTGATTTTGGAGTCAAAAACATACCAAAAGTGGAGTAATATTTACCCTAACAGGAGTACTAAATACTCTAGTTTAAAATTTTACTCATTTTGGAGTCAAAAATATACCAAAAGTGGAGTAATATTTACCCTAACAGGAGTACTAAATACTCTAGTTTTAAAATTTTACTCTCATCTTGGAGTCAAAAATGTACCAAAAATGGAGTAATATTTACCCTAACAGGAGTACTAAATACTCTAGTTTTACGCTCATGTTGGAGTTAAAAATATATACCAAAAGTGGAGTATATTTTATTCCTTATGAGTTATGGGGGTGTAAATTACACTAAAAATATGAACAAATAGTAAAATTGTAATGAATAAAGGAAGAAAATTTTAATTAACATAACACTTCGATCATAAGTACAAGGATTATATATGTTTTGCTGGTTAACGCTTACCCTGGTTCCAGAGGCTCTTTGCAAGGCGAAATAAACGAGAGGCGAGAAGGAAGACCCTCCGGTCACATCGGTTGCAAATTCCACTTCCACACTTGGTTAGGTTCAGAATTCCAATCTCCCATGTGATTGGCCATTTGTAAAAATATGTCAAACCGGTTTGGGAAATAAACAAGCTAATTATAGCTATAATTAGCTTACAGTAATGTTGTTTCGCCTCGCAAAGAGCCTCTGGAACCAGGGTAGTTAACGCTATCAAAATTGCTGTTTGTATGCATGCAGTAAGTTGAAAAAGATTTGTTCGACCTAACTAAGTTAAAAAAAATTCTTACAAATTCTTTTAAAAATTAAAGTCCTTACAAATTCTTTTACACTTAGTCGTAAATTAGTCAATTTGCCCATTCTGCAAAATTAATTCCCACCGTGATGACAGAAACTTTGATAGTGCAGCCTTCAGGTATAAGTACAAAAAATTACATGCATTCAATTACAAGTATACTAATACTGCA